TGTTAGGGTGAACTACGCACTCAGGGACCAGAGACCAGTCATCGTCACCTGTCATCAACATCTCTTTCACTTCGGGTTTGTTGTGATGGTCACTGTTTTCCCTGCCTCTGGGCTCCCAAAACCACTGAAACATGCCTGGACCATCAAATCCACTGGCTACATGGGGACAGTTTGTGTACATGTCTATGTCCCTACCTAAAAATTGTTTTGCAACCTGTAAATGCCAAGGCAGAGGACTTGGCATTCATTTAAGATCTGCTAAAGTAGCTGGATCTGAAAGACATGATAGAAGATGAGAAGGGGGACCTTTTAGTGGACAGAGGGAAAAGCGATCATGCTGTCCAGCAAGCAGCAAGGAATGGGTTGCTGAATCCTGCAACATCACGGCGGCCTCTGGATGTTTTGTCACTGATGCGTAATGAGCCCCCCCAGCCTTGCTCCCATCAGTTGATTCCCCAGAATCAGTAGGAGATGATGGTTCTGGGTTCCAGGGATTCCAGAAAGTCTTAGAGCAGGGGAGCAAGCAGGTATGAGGGGTCTGGTGGATTGCAGCTACCCGCACCCCACCCTTACTGCATGGGGGTGAAGGCTTCTTGGTAGCTAGTAGCTTGTGCCTTGAGTTCAAATTGTCTGCACGTGATGGAGGTGAACTGAAGTCCTGGTAGATGCTTAGGGTGGCTATAGCCTCCAAACCCCAGGGTTTGACCTTCTGGTGCTAGAGCTTTAGTGATCTCCTCTCTCAGGAGTCATTAGTCCCTGGAAAATCACACTCCAGTGTGTGAACTCACAAGATGTCATCCCAGCAAGTAATGGAAGGCTTTCCATTGGCAGCGCAGTTGCATGGTGGATGGGGTAAGCGGAGGCCATAGTGAGCTCATTAACTGTTGAGCAATAAGTCTATGTGTTCATCGTGTTGGCCAACAAATATGAAGTGCCAACTGTGTGCTCACTTGCATGGGTACGCTAAGAATAGAAAGAGGTGCAAGATAGACTCCTAAAACTATAAAGTCCCCGTCCTCAAGGAACTTGCCTCTGGATGGCAAGATCAGAGACAGTGTGGGGTAACATTAAGAACAAGCTTGAACCCTACACTCCGTCCTGGGGTTGAATTCTTACTTCCCATTTAACCTCAACAAACCTCAGTTTTTCCATCTGCAACATGGGGATAATTGCTACCTCACAAGAGCTTCTCTGAAATGAATGAGAAAATGTCATGAGAGTTTACTGTGAATACTTTCAATGTATCACATGATGGCCTTACTGGTTTTGTAAAAGAAATGCACACTCATTGTAGAAAACAGACCACACGGAACCAAAACTTTATGCACCTTTTTCCAAGACCTTACTCTCTGAAACATGACTTTGCTGGAGCAGCTGTAATTATGAAAACACATCCATGCAGAAGACACTACTCAAAGCTTCAAGTATCACAAAAAGTTCAGCAAAGCAGCTGGTTTCCTCGATGCTCCCGAGGCACTGGTTGCAGGCAGTGGGAAGGCCCCACTGCCCCCGGGAAAGTGGTCAGGATGAGGGTGGGGCTGGGGCCAAGGAGAGGGAGCGAGGAGTCCCTGGGATGTGACAGCCAGCCATCCCATGGATGCATGAGAACTCCGCCTTAACCTCTCCCTGTATTATGTGCTGTAAAAACCTACAAGACACGTCTGTTCCTGACCCTCCCAGGTTCTTGGGAGTTTAAAAGATGTGCCCCAAACCACAGGCTGGTTAAAGGCTTCGGGATCCGTGTGTCCTGCTGGAAAGGCCACTTCTGAAGGGAGGTGTCCAGAACGAGCACCCAGGTGGGCACTCAGGGATCTTGAGGCGCTGGGGCAATTGGGGAAGGTTCCAGGGAGGTCGAAGATCTTTTATTCAACTGACTGGCTCTCCCTTGGGCTCAGAGCACAGATAAATAACACCACAATGTGGGGCAGGGATGAAGGAATGTGAAGGTTTGTGAAAACAATGAGGAGCCATTCAAGTTAGTCTGAGGTAATGAGAGGAAAGCAGTTTCCAAAGACAAACTCCTGAGCCAGCTAAGGTGATGGCCTGTGTGGTCAGCTGGAGGATTTCTGGTGCCAAGCAGTGAAAGGATAGCCGGAGAGGGCCCCTGGATGACCACTGGGCACAAGCAAGAGAACACTCACCTGTAGGGACAGGACACACCCTGGGCAAGGCAGTCCTGTATGAAGAACATTCCAAATGAAGGCAGGATAGCACAGTGCAGTGCTTCCCAAACTTTAGTATCCGAATCGCCTGGGAGCTAATAAAGAACGCAGAGGCCCAGGCCTGGTGAAGCAGGATAGGACCCGGGCCTTTGTTGTTATATCCCAGCCTCCGGTGATTCTGACACCTGCTGCAGCTTGAGAACCTTTCAGAACATGAGCTCTGGACCCAGACTCCGTGGGTTTGAATCCCAGCTCGGCCATGTGTCTCCTCAGCGACTCTGGCAATGCTATAGATTCACCGTTTGTGATCTGGAACTTCTAACAGTACCTATCTCAGAACTGCTGGGAGGGAGGAATGAGTTGTTAGCAGCACAGCCACTGGAACGGTGTCTGGACAATAAGATGTACTCTGGGAATGGTAGTCACTATTCTCCAGCCTGTGTCATCTGTGGCAGAAAGCTGCCATTAGAGAGGAAAATTAAAGGAATTGCAGGGTAAGAGAGGATATTCCGTACATTTAACTGAGATTTTTACAAAAACAGAAAACCCTACTCAGCTAGCATATGTGACCAGCCAGTGAGCAGCTTGAGACGTCTGAGTGAGAAGCTGAGCGCCCAGGTTGCCATGACAGCAGCCAACAACAGGAGGAGGAAAAGCTCTCTCGGTTTATTAGAGAAAGCTGGGGTGCTCAGCTCCCCACATGGCTTCCTTCCTGTTGGCTCGACCCTGGGACGTGATGGAGGAAATGATCGAGGTGGAAGAGGCTCCCACACGGGTACCCCACCTGCAGCTGCTCTCTGGGATACTTGGAAGAACTTAAAGGGGAGACTGGAGAGCCAGTCATCAGGCCACAGGTACCTGTTAAGAAAATATACAGGATTGCTTCCACATATCCAGAACTTCTAGAAGTACTCTGAGACATACTCGGCTGAACCCCCTGGGAACACACAATAAACCCATCTCCTTTCTGATGGGTTAAGGAGAGCTTAGGTGGGTGAACTTGAAACCGTAGGCAAAAAACCAAGCGTGGGTAACAGCGTTAGGTGTGGGCGAAGAGGATGCCTTCTGGGGAACCTGTCGTGGCCTCCTCCTGCTGTGCCCCTGCCCACGGGGCACAGGTTTGTGGGGCCAGGGAAATGTAGACACCCAGCGCTTGTGTCCTCACTTCACGCATCAGACAGTTGAGATTAGACCTTAGACCTTGGAATCCCTGTCCAAAGTGACCCAAGCCCGCTTCTGATGCCTACAGGAGCCTCTCTCCAGGTCCATTTTCACAAAGGCAGTGCTGCCCCATGGTGCACACCCTAGGGCCCAAGTCCTGGGTGGCCAAGGGATGGTGGTGTGCAGCGACAGGGCACTTGGGAGGCGTGTGCTGGGGTTCCCTCGCAATGTGGCAAAGAACCAGGTGGGAAGAGGAGAGGCCTGGACCACTGGATGGCCAGCTGTGACACCACACTGTGGCAGAGACTGGACTCTGAGAACTCCAAATTCAAACTTGGCCTTCCAGTATGTTATGTCAAGGTAGGAGGGTGGAACAGATTTGGGCTCAGCTTGATTTACAACTTTTAAACATTAAGACCTGGCATGTGGGTCTCCATTTGCATTCTTGCCTCTGACTTAACAAATGTTGGGGGGGGGGTGCGCCTGATGGCTAAAGACATGTACTTTAGTACCAGATAGGCCGAAACTGAAACATCTGAGTGTGCCATTTATTATGTGCCTCGGGCAATTTACTTCAACACTCTAATAATACTGATGTTAAGGCTCGTTCGGTTCCAAGGAGTATCCCAATTCAAATGGACTTGTAAGTAAGGGATTTGTTGGTTCCTACAACTGACAAATCCAGTAGTAGAAACCTCAGGTGTGTCTGGATCCAGCAGTCTCACCAGCAACCTCAGCACATGGTCTCCACATCTTTGGCCCTGCTTTCCTGTGCTAGCTTCCTTCTTGGGCAGGACTACGCACATGGTCATAAGCTTACATCCTACTTACGAAGCAATCCCTGCAGAAAATGAAAGGTATCACTTTTCTAAAGATCTGGCAAAATCCAGGGATCTGATGATTGGTTATATGCCCACCATAGAGGGTCTGTGTCTATCCCCTACAAATCATGTGGATTAAGAGTCAGGGAAGTCGTTTTCACCAAATAAAAACTAAGATGCGGTTACCAGGAGAATAACTGCGGCAAAAACAAGTGGTTTGATGGGGGAATAAATGCTTAGCGCTCAACGTGAGCCACTACTGATGTGATGGAGAAAAGGCAAATAGACTCAAACCTAGGTATGCATACAGAACGGAAAGCAAGTGGAAACCGTGTTCGTTTTCCAACTGCCCCGAATTCTGGAATGAGTTGGCAGCTTGAAGAAATGAAGCCTTGGAAATGCACTCACAATCTCAGAAGACACTACGGTCGTATGTATGAATCACGGTTTCGGCTGCTGTGGCTGATTCTGCAAACACCAACCTGTGCCCATCAGTGCGCCTCAGCCTCAAAACTTGGGTATGACACCAAGCCTTGTTCGCCAAGAAGACTGTTACTGGAATTGTGTAGAGAAGCACATGAATCCCCAAATTATTAAGTTTCTAGATACGCAGCCAATTTGGGACAACGTTCAGTCTCTCTAACGCGGAGATAACCTACTATCACTGAGGACTCATCACAACAGTGTCTGCTTTCTACTCGCCTCCTGTCATCTCCAGCTACAGAACAATCTTAAATATTGAGGATCCTTCTTACCTTGATAGAAATTGACCAAGACTATTCATAGATCTCTAAATGTGCACTTTTGTGGTTTACACTTTTTTTCTATTTTTGATAATTGATAAAAATAGGCTATATACATTTTAAATATTTCCCCAGTTTTTTATTTTGAAAAATTGCAAACCCACAGAAGTTCAAATAGTACTAAAATATTAACGCCGCCTTCACACACACACACATTTTTGATCAAAAAAAACCACAGCGGCCTCTGCTCTATGTTAATATCCAGATACCTTCTCCATGCTTACGAGAGAAGCAGCCTCATGTTTAGTGAGAGGAGCAGTGTCCTCAGGAAGCCTCAGTGTTCTTTTTTGTAGGACTTCACTGATCTCATTAGAAACTCACAGCCCTGCAAGGCCCTTTGCACAGGATTTATTCCCATTTTACAGATGAGGAAACAAACTCAGGCCAAGTGATCTATCTGCTCAAGGTTTGTCAGTAAGTGACCCAGACGAACCTGGAACCAAAGACTTCTGACTTCAGTAACTCAACATATTCGGGTCACTTCTCTCCTGGATATACAGTGAGAGTAAAGCCGGAGCCAAACAGATATGCAAAGAAGTGTTTTAGCTTCATTCTTCCGACCGTCTGAAAGCAAATATTCACCAGGACCCATGTGCACAGCATTATCAATCAGAAGTCTTATCAGGAGCATAAAACTGCAATGGAAATTGAGAGCAGAAGGGTGCACACAGAGGGTATAGAAATATCTGTTAACTGCCCCCAATTCGACTTCAGTATTTACCGAGCGCTTACTCTGTTCCCGGTATTGTGCTTGGGATACCGAGCAAAAAAGATAGACAAAGATTCTGCCCTTGTGGAGCTCACATGCCCGTGGGCTAATGAACAATCCAGAAGCTGCCAATGAGAGATTGGTGGGCTGCATCTGGCCCACATTAGTGTTTTGTCTGGTCCACACTGTTTCATTTTTGTCTTTTTATAATAAGTCGCCAACTTCTAGCTTCTCTGAAACAGGCAACTTCTGTGGGATTCCCGAATAAGAAGTAGCAGCCAGGACACGTGTCTTCTGGAGATCACTTCAGTTCCCAGGATCTCCCACTGTCTTACACCCAGGCAACTGTGGCCCAATTCATGCATTTGCGTTTCCTACTCGACATCCTAAAGCATTTAAGCTGAAACCCCTGAAGCAAACAAATATTCAAAGGAGATCTTTTCAGATCAGATAAAGTCATACAAAAGAAATAAAATGAGCTAACGTGACAGGAGTGACAGGATTGGTGGAAAGGGCTACTTCAGACTGGGTGGCCAGGGAGGGTCTCTCCGAAGTGTAACTGAAACAGAGAACTGCATTACCAACAGGAAAAATGCTTCGAAGCAGAGGGAACAGCACGGGCACAGATTCCACTTGGGGCAGGAAATAACTTGGCCTGGTCAAGTAACAGCAGCAAGTTTGGGGCGGTTGGGAGAGGGGTGAGAGGTTCACAGAGGAAGGAAGAAGCCAGATTACACAGGACCTTAAAGGCCATGATGAGAATCTTGGATTTTATTCCAGGTGCGATAGGAAGCCTTTGGAAGGCTTTTGCTTGGGAACAATGTGATCTGGTTTCAAAGATCACTCTGGGATGCAGGGAAGTGATGTAAACGAGGCAAGAGAAGAAGCAGGGAGACCAAAGAGAAGGCTGGATTATCGTAGTCCAGCAGGTGACAGTGGCTAGAACCAGGATGGTTAACAGAAAAGATGGAGAAAAGCAGATTCAGGATATAATCTGGAGTAGAACCAAAAGAATTTTCTGATGGAGTGGATGGCAATAGTGCCAGTGGGCCGGAAGGATTAACGAAAAGGGAGTAATGAGAGAGAACTCCAAGGTTGTGCCTTGTTCAGAGGGATGTCTAGGGGAGGCCCCCATCGCAGGGACCGAGGGCAAGACGGGGATTTCGGATGAATAAATTTTGCCAAGACGCAAGTCGTCCTAGAGCCTCGTTTCCCTTCTCCCACACCCCAGCATTCTCAAATCCAAAAAGCTGAACTTGTAAATGCCTCACCTCTTACCAACTCTATCCCTTCAACTTCAGACCCACCGCCTCCGTCTGGATCCAATTCTGTCTCTTGCCGGGACTTTCCCAACAGCATTCTACAGCTATGAATTAACCAGCAAAAAGCACTTACTACCCACGCATACCTCTCTCCCACTAGCCATCCTTGATGGCAGAGATGACACCCTATTCGTATTCATCCCCGGTGCTAGTGCTGTGCTGGGCCCACAGTGGGCACTCAAATATTTGATGAACTGAAAAGAGGTCTCCTCAGATAGAATACAACCTCCTTGCAGAGAGGAGTCCTATCTTGGAATTCTAGCATTCCTCTACACAACTTAAAGAACCAGCTGCCAAATGTATAATCAAGTTCCAGAAACTTCGCCTTCCCAAGGGACGGGTTTCTTTCTTTTTCATTTAGTTTCAAAGTATTGAGTCCCATATTTACCTGGTAGTTAAGAAACAAGATTGGCCAACAGACAACGTATATTATTACTCTTTTCCAGTTTTCTTCCAAATCTAGGGACTTTATATGTGCATACGTTAACAACATCTTTGTAAGGAGGCCAAGAGAGAGGATTATTCTCCATTTTACAGGAAAAAAAAGTGAGGCACCAAATGAAATCCCTAAATTCCTTTTTGATGGAATTCGGAGCTTCGCCTGGATTAAGACTGGTCCTTCCCTGACACGATCCCACAGTTCTGTAATTGGAGGGTATCCCAGGCTCCCACCCCTGCAAAACTGCTGGTTAGTACTCAGGGGTTCCCTAGGTTTTGCCTCCACAACTGCAAACTCCTTTGGGTACCAGGGTGTGTTGCCCCAAGGTCAAAGGCCATGTCCTCTCTCTCCAACTGTCCATTTCCCTCAGCACCTGGTGAAGACAGATTCCATCCCTTGGGCCCAGGAGAAAGAGAAGCACCTTGGTCATTAGACCAGGAAGTCAAGTAAGGCCAGGAGTCACAACCGGCAAGAAGAGACAGATCAAAATAGGCAAGAAGAGTTTCAATGGGGAAAAGCAAAGAGGAGCCACCACTAAAAATCCAAATACTCCTTTCAAGAGGCTTCCAGCTGAGGAGTACCTGGGAGGAGGAAGTGGCAGCCGTGGCGCAGGCCAGATCCTTCCTGCCACACCCACCCAGAGTCATTTCTTCAAGGCACCCAGGCTTCTCAGAGCCTCCTGGGCCTGGGTCAGCTGCTGCTGCAGCCTCTGGCGGGTGCTCTCATTGGAGGCCCGCTTCAGGAGGCCCTGCATTTCTTCTACCACCGCCCGATGGCCAGGGGTGTTATGGAAAAGCCGCACTGCCCGGTCCCCACAGGAGGCCAGAAGCCGGCCAGTGATGTCAAAGGACAAGTCAGTGATACACTCCCCATGGACCTGCTCAAAGCACTCCTCCTTCTCACCCCGCCGGGTGTTGTAGAGATGAATACTGCTGCCACTGGCCAAGGCCAAGACCTGGGCGTCAGGGGAGAGAGCCAGGCGGCACGGCATGGTGCTCGCCTCTTCAAAGCAGCCTGTCCTCAGCAAGTAGGGATCCTGCTGCTTCTTGTACTCCACATCTGTGTCCCACAGTTTCCATGTCCCGTCCTTGGAGACCGAGGCCATCCTGCAGCATGGAAAATCACAGCTCGAGCCCCAATGCACCCTGGAGGGGAGGGCACTGGGACAGCATTAGGGGCTCCAGCTAGGAAGCCAAGTGCACGGCTAGGTCTACTTCCTGCTGAGGGCCGGGCACTCTACCCACTTCAGAGCTGCTGCAGAGATAGGCAAAAAAAAGGCCCTCGTTGCCAACAGGGGCTGGGAGCCGCTGGTAAGACATCAGAGAGGATTCACTCACCTGCGGGAGTCATTGGAGAAAGCGAAGAAGTGGACGGCGGCCGAGTGACCCTTCAGTTCAAAGGCTCGCACAACCTCCTGGAAGTCCCCTTTTTTCCCAAAGCAGACTTCCCAAACTTTGACATCCGGGGTGAAGCCACACGAGGCCACAAACCTGTCACACAACCAGATTCCTTTACAACTTCATCTTGAGGGCATTTCCTTTCTGCCAACCTGCTAAACCTCATTCCTGAGAAAGTACATCATCTTCTACCTCAATAACACTGTGCTTTTAAAAATATGACCTCGGTCCATTCTCATGGCCAGGCTAGAGGATACATGGTACCCCCACTGCACGTGATTCCATACGGTCTGCTCCTTCCACTATCTGAAGCGGGCTCTCTGCTCTGTTCCTGGCCATGCCTTCTGCCCATCCCAGATGCCAAGTCCCTCCCTCCTCACCTGCTACAAGGGGATATAGCAGCATGGGTGTTGTTCATCTGGTTAGTGTTGATGGTAGACAGCACATGACCTTTCAGATTCCAGATGAGGATAGTTGTGTCACTGGAAGCAGTCATGATGAACTTCCCTGAGAGGGCAGGAGGGTGACATGAGCCAAGGTCAAGGCCCTGACCACGTGTCATCCTCTACGCAGACACTTACGCAGGTCTCCGCTGTCCCAAGTATCCATGCTCCCCTCCTGGACCAAGGGTCACCACAGACTAGGATTTTGCTGAACGCTGTGGGTCTTACCTGCCTCCCCTGGGGACCTGCTGTGGCTCCCAGGACTCCAGGGGAACCCAGAGCCAGAGTCCCTTTGTCAAAACTAGGGCTGAGCATAACTCTCGGGCAGCATTAACTCATTCGGCCAATAACTGGGGCTGTTCCCTCTAGTCTTAGGTAAGCTCCATCCTCTGCAAGGCTCTTACCTGTGTCGGCAATGCCGATGTTGACGACGGGTGCCTTGTGCTTTTTGGGAAAGTCCTCTGGGGTGGCCGTGAAGGTATAGCCTCCATCCTCTCGCTTGGTCATCTTGAAGACACGAAGGGTGTCTCCGTTGGCCAGCCAGACGATGAAGGCTCTAGAGACAGGTAGCAGACAAGGCACTCGCTTGTTTGGACACGGAGGCCTGTGTGTGCCAGTTCCTATGCTAGGCTCTGAGGAAAATCATGGGCCTTCCTTCGTACCCCAGTCCGGCCCTGCAACTTAACCCCTTGGCTCAAAACCTCTTACTACTCTTCAGAAGGTAGGCCTCTCCCAGCTTTGGCTCTTTCAGTTTCTCTCTAGGGTTTGGAAAACCATGACAGCTCCCAAGACGAATCTGGAGCCAGGCTTTGGTACTTCCCAAGTAGGAACACACCTTCCCCTCTCTGCTTCCTTGCTGTGTAAAATGCACAGACCTCCAGGGAGCCCCGGGCGGTGCTCAAGCTGTCCAGTTCTCTTTCTGCCACCCCCAGGGAGACCCAGGGTCCCCCCTCACCATCCCAAGTCACGTATGGGAAGGACAGAAGCCTGGGCTTCTGCAGGCACAGCTGAGGCTCCGTCTTGTCGCACCTGCAGTCAGGGCTGAAGCGCACCAGGGTGGCGTGGTCCAGCTCCACGTTGGCTCTCATGCTGCGGTGCTCCCGCTGCAGGAAGTCCTTGGTGCTCCAGATGCGGACGGTGCGATCATCTGCACAGGTGGCCAGGTACTTGCCATTGCTGCTAAAGTCCATGCAAGATATGTTCCCACTGTGGCTCTAAGGGAAGGGTTGCAGGAAGTATGAACAGGGACCCCTTGGGTAGACGGAGTCTGTTGCCTGGATTAACAGCAAGCTGCTGATGGGGTATGATGAGAGGGGACAGGATGGGGCAGCCCCCACTGATTTTGGTCAGAGGCAGCAGGGTCTGTCGTGTGCACAGAACACTAAAAGGAGAAGTCTGCGGGGGTGTGAGTCTTTGTATATGTGTGCTGAGCATGGGTACCCATGTACCTTCAGTGCTGCAGCCAGGAGGCGGTGAGTAAAGTTGTGTTGTTGTGGCTTCTCCTTGCGAACTCGCTGATGCTGTTTCTGCTTCTTGGATCTCAAGGACTTGTCAAGTGGAAGTCCATTTGCCTTCTGGCCTGTGAGGAAGGGCCGTGTCATCTATCCATCCGCTCACTAAGCATTTCTGACTGCCTATAATTGGCCAGGAATTGAGGGAGCATCAAGAGATGACCAGATAGGCCCCGGGCTCGAGGAGAGAGAGTGATGGGAGTAAAAACAGGGTTTTTATCAGACTGGGTTTGGATTGTAGCTCTACCACGAGGGCTCTTGAGGAGACTGCTTGCTGTCAGTCCACATAGCACCTCAATGCAAGTTAGAAAAGGAGCCCTCTCTGCAAGAACAGCTCAGTGGGTACACAGCACAGCCAACAAAGGGCAGATCCTTGGCCACACATCCCTAGGTAGGAAATAATGTGCACAACCAAACCTGGTGGTCCTGGGCTTGGGCAAGTTATTTAATTGCTCTGGGCTTCAGATTCCTTAAAGAGAAGTTGTGAGAATTGGACAATATATACAAAAAAGAGAAGCAGAGTACCCAAGACGAGTATTAAAGGCTCAGAGGACTCCCAGAAGGAACTCAAGGATGAGAGGTAGTCAGTACCTGTTGATGGAGTACCTGTCCTGTGCCAGAAATGGTGCCAGTCACTTTTGTATAAAATAGCTAATTTAGGGGCAGCTGGGTGGCTCAGTCGGTTGAGCACTCAACTCTTGAGATGAGCTCAGGTCATATGATCTTGCGGTTTGTGAGTTCGAGCCCCCGCAGAGGCCCCGCGTCTGGGTCTGAGACGACAGTGGGAAGCCTGCTTAGGATTCTCTCTCTCTGCTCTTCCCCTGCTGGAGCGCTCTCTCAAAATAAACTTAAAAAAGAAAAAAAAAAAAAAAAGCTAATCTAATTGAGAATCAGATCAGTTGCAAAGTGGGCATGTGTTAGATTACTGCAGATGCTCCTTAATTCGTACAGAAAAAAAAACTCCCGAGGCTCCTATACAGATACCACCACGACCCGCCCTCTCCAGCCTTGTCCCGCAAGCGTCCTCCTCCCCCCTGAAGGGCATACCAAATGCCGTTTCAGAACTCCTTGCCTTCATGCATGTAACCTTTGCCAACAGTATTCTTCCTCCCTCCTTGGCCAAACTCTGACCGTGTATCCTTCAAGACCCCACACCACGTGTTTCCTACTCTCAGCGAAGATTTTCTTGACCCCTCCCCACCGAAAAAGCAGGGCTGACCACTCCCACCCTTGGGTTTCCTGGTGCTAGGACTGACCTCTTCTGTGACACCTATTACAGTGTATTTTTCACTTACATTTTCGGATGTTCTTCTCCCTTACGCGGCAGTGTACTTCCTAAGGGAAAAGTCCCGACACCTACTGCGATAGTACGTATATACTTCAATAAACGTTGCTCATGTCGGGGAATGAGTCGGAGTACTTACAAATGGTGCCCGTCTACCCTCACCCCTCCCTATTTTCCTAAAATAACGAACAAGCAGCGCGCTCGAGAGAGTTTACAGGGGCTCTCGCGGCAACCCCGGGGAGACGCTGGGGCTCAGCGGGACAGCGCCTCGTCCTCGGCCACCGAGAAAGTGGCAGCGCCGGACCCACGCTGTAACTAATCCTCCCGAAGGGGCGCGACCAGCCCGGCGAGGCGGCACCTCGTCTCGAGAAGCGAAACTCATTTACCAAAAGGAGAAACTGAGGCCCACGGGGTCCCCCCCCCCAAACCGCAGGTCGGACCAGTGGGAGGCCAGGAACATGGTCCTCGTGGGTCGCCCCCACCCGCCCCTGCCCCACTAACCGGCGGATCGGCTGCTCGTCTCCTCCTCCGCGCGCAGCCACCACCCCCGCGCTACCGCCGCCGTCGCCATCAAGGCCAGCAGTCCGAGCAACAGCGACAGGCCCATCAGCTCCGGCAACTGCGGCAGCTCCATGACTGCACTGCCGCTGCCACCTCAGCCTCTAACTACGCGGGCGTCTGCACGCCTCCGCGGGACCGCGCACGCACACAGGACGGGGCCTGGTCGTTGGCGCGTCCCGAGGGGCGGGGTCTGGCCGTTGGGCAAATTGAGGGGCGGGGCTTGACCTTCAGAGCGTCCAAAAGGGCGGGACCTGGCTGACGGAGTGTCTCGCGGGCGGGGCTTGACCGTTGGTGCGACTCGCGGGGCGGGGCTGGACCGTTGGCGCGCCCAGAGGGGCGGGGCCTGGCTGCCGATGCGTCTCGCGGGCGGGGCTTAACTGTTGGTGCGTCTCGCGGGGCGGGGCCTGACTGTTGGAGCGACCCGCTGTGCAGGGCCCACCCATGGATCGTGCCGAGGGGCGGGGCCTGGCCCTTGTGGGGTCTGGTTTTTGGGGTTGTGCTGTCCCCCAAGCTGGGGGGCGAATTCTGCAGGCTCCGCTGAGTCCTCTCCTTGAGTAATTTACTGATAATTGTTTATTAAAGGCGTTATTCCAGCCATCACCACAGTGGATCCTTTCAAGGAGCCAAGGCAGGAATTATTACTCCCATTTAACAGGTCTTAACATCAGAGGAAATTTAGATGGCCTTTTGGTATTAATGGAGGAGAGAAAGGGTAGCCCTAGAATTGAAGCATGGAATAATAGCCTCAGCAAAGACCCGGGAGGGGATGCTCTGGGAAGGCAAGGGCATGAGCAAAAAAAGTAAGTAGTAGATAAGAATGGAAAGATCTGGAGAGCCTTGAGAGCCAGCTGAATCCAACCAGCAGAAAGGAGCCTCTGCTGGTTATTTCAGGGCGAGTTAGGGCAAAACTGGTGTCTCTTGAAATTCTCCGGGAAGATCAGTTGTGTGCCAAAACCAAAGACAGAAGGAAAATCAGGAGGTGTTTGCAAGGATCCAAGAAGGAGATAATAAGGGCCTGGACTTAGGTGGGCTGGGAAGTGGAAAGGAACTTGAAAAGATTTTTAACAAGATATTTGTATTTTGAGATTATAGATTCACAAGGAGTTGGAAAAAACGGAACAGGAAGTTTCCACGAACGTTCACCCGGTTTCCCCCAATGGTAACATCTTACATAACTATAGTGTGATATCAAAACCAGGAAATTGGCCTGGATACAATCTACAGAGTTCATTCAGCTCTAACCAAAAAGGAGATATTCTGAAAGACTAACTGATAGTATTTTAATTAGACCTGCTTGGACAGAAAGGAAATGTTCCCAGAACAGGGAGCAGTGCTCCATGGGTCTCCCAGCCCTACAACCCAGAGTAAGTACCAGGGTCAGGGATTCCAGATGCAAAGTTTCCATGCCCAACAGGGAACCTCTCCTGAAGTGCAGGCTCTCAGGCCTTTAGAAGGACCCTCTAAGGAGAGAGGATGCTGCAGAGACTAGAGGACAGACAGATACACCCATAACCTCGGTTAAGGACATAGATCCAGTCAGAGAACAAACAGAGGGTGGCCTCATTTCCTTCCCTTTTGTCCTTGGAGGTGTGTGTGTGTGGGGGGGGGGATTGGCATGGACTCAGCTGTGGGCAGTGGTGGAAGCAGGGGGAGGGAAGGGGTCCAGAACATCCTGGGGCTTTTCCTCTTTAATTTGCTACTGAGAACTGTAGCACCAGCCATGAACCACTTTCTCCATCACCTAGAGACGAAGCTGTACTTTTTTTTCCTTTAGGTTATTTACTTTTTTATTTAAGCGGTCTCTACACCCAACATGGGGCTCAAACTCATGACCCCCAAGATCAAGAATCGCATGCTCCACTGACTTAGCCAGCCAGGTGCTCCAACAAAGCTGTACTTTGAGAAGAACTTCCTTTACTCACCTGGGTGGCTTAGAACTTCGGCTCGGGTCATGACCTCATGGTTCGTGAGTTCAAACCCCACATCGGGCTGGCTGCTGTCCACGTGGACCCCGCTTTGGATCCTCTGACCCCTCTCTGCCCCTCTCTGCTTGTGTGTGCTCTCTTTCTCTCTCTTTGTCCCTCAAAATTAGTAAACATTTTTTTAAAAAGTTCCTTCACCAAGCATTTTGCATGTGACATTGATTGATCCGGGAGCTTTGCATTTCATTTAATCTCACATTCCCATCCCACAGATTAGGAAACTGATGCTCTAGGAGGTGCTCATTAGGTGACTTTCCAGGGATCACACAGGGGAAGAGTGACATGGGAACCCATGCAGATCTGTGACTCCAATCTGTTGATGTGGGGGAAAAGGAAAAGAAAGAGTAGGATTCTGTGTACAGCTCGGTCAAGGCTACAAGATTCTTTCACATCAAGAATTTGGTTGATTTTTATAGTGGCCTTTAAGGCAAGTGATGCTATGAAATTAAGCAAATGGAAAGAAAAAAAACAACTAGGCTCAGATCAAGTGATTTACCCAAGGTCAACAAGGAAGCAAGAGAAAGAGCTCATTGGGGTGGGTAGTAAACTGAGATGGGCTACACGCATACTCCTCCCGCCTTGCCACTGGCCTCGCCACTCGCCACGCCACTCGCCACTCGGTGGGTGGTGATCTGGCCTGGCTCTTACCTCTGGTGTCACAGGGCTCAGCTGGAAGCCAAAGTCAACTTGTGGAAGGACAATCAATGACACAAAGCAGGATTTGGGAAGGCTGGGCAGGTCAGGGAAGGACCTGTACCGATGAGTTTGGAGGGTCAGTGAGACTTGGCTATACCTTTGGCAGGGTGGGCATTCAGACAGGGGAGGTGGAAGGGAGTGGCTCTGGCAGCCCATCTGGGTGAGTGTTGCTGATGGCACCAGAGGAATGTGAAGGGAGGGAGGCTGTGGAGAGAAATGAGGCCAGAGAGGTAGCAAGGCCCGTTCACAAAGCACCTTGACCATGGGCCCAGAAACCATAGTGGAAACACAACTTCACAATCTGCAACTGAAGACCCACCTTGTATTGATTGGAGGCCTTCCTACCTGGCCTCTGTGTTAGGCAAAACAATAAATTTCTTCCTTTGTTTAAGTAGCGGTTCTTGGAGTATGGACCCTGGACCAGCACCATTAGACACGCAGATTCTTAGACCCCACCCCAGACCTGCAGACTCAGAAACTCTGAACCACCCATTTAACTAACTTGAGTTCCAGGCATATGTTATTTGCAGCTCAAAGCCTCGATTACAGTGGTTCTCGCATATTGGAATCACCTTAAAAAAAATGCTAGTGTCTAAACTTCCACCCTGAGGGCTTCTGATTGAATTGGCCTGGACTGGACCCGGCTGTGAAGATTTTTTAAAGCCCTTCCAAGCTATGCAAATGCACGCTTAAGCTCGAGAAGTAGCTCCCAGGGATCCAGCAGGCCAGTACAAGACTGTGTAGGAGGGGATGCTCTGTTGGACCAGGGTGGCGGCTGTGGGGATGGAGGTCAACTGGCCAGCCCTTGGTAACGGATGGCTGTGTTCAGCTTGGACAAATGTCTGGGTGGTGGCACCCTTCCTGGGGATGGGGAACACGAAAAGGACCATGTTTGAGATGGAAGACTGTGGGCTGCAGTCTCAGAAATGATGAGTTCTGTTCCTTGAAGCTAAAGGGAGCTGTGAAACATTCAGAGGGAGGGGGCAGGGTGGCAGTTGGATACGCGCTTGAGTAGCTGCAGGGGCAGAGCAGGACAGATGCAGAATAGTGGGTTCTCGGCAGAGAGGGCAAAGGGAATGGTATTACCTAACGCTTGCCACCAAGTGAGAAGTGAGCCAGGAAGGGACTGGCCAGGAGGAAAAGCCTCCCACAGCAGGCACTGGGAAGGCACCGTCAGGCAGGTGGGAGAGCCTGGAGAGAATTCAAGAGTCACAGGGAAAAAGGGGTTCAAGAATGAGGTCCAGGGGCCCAGGGGCGGTGGGGGAGTATTGAGGGAAAAAGAGCACTGCAAAGTGGTTGTTGGATTTGGCAACAAGGGAGTCATGCGACCTCAGTGAGCGTGAGTCAGGGCAGGGGTGAGGCTGGGGTGGAAGCTGGCGGAAGGAGACCAAAGACAGGGGGTGAGTGGGAGGGGAGGAGAGAGGGAGAGCAAGTGTAGATAACTTTCTCAAAGAAAGTGGCATCTATTGGGGGGACACAGGGTCAGAAGGAAGTCTCACAGGGACCTTCCTGGAAGGGTGTGAGCGGTGAAAACAGAGCACACTGCTAGGATTTTACCTCTCAGCCACTTCAAACCTTTGTCTGTGGCAACAAATAGCACTCAATGCCTGGGTGCACCTGGTACCTGCACAGTAAAGAGAGGTGACTAGGGGCGCCTGGGTGGCTGAGTCGGACTGAGTGTCAGACTTTGGCTCAGGTCATGGTCTCACGGTTTGTGGGTTTGATCCCTGCATCGGGCTCTCTGCTGTCAGTGCGGGGCCTGCTTTGAATCCTCTGTCCCCATCTCTTTCTCAAAAATAAACACTAAAAAATAATTAGGGGCGCCTAGGTGGCTCAGTCAGTTAAGCATCTGACTTCCGCTCTGGTCATGATTTTGCGGTCTGTGGGTTTAAGCCCCGTGTCAGGCTCTGTGCTGAGAGCTCAGAGCCTAGAGCCTGCTTCAGATTCTGTGTCTCCCTGTCTCTCTGCCCCTCCCCGACTCACACTCTGTCTCTCTCTGTCTCTCAAAAATGAATAAATATTAAAAAAATTTTTTTAAAAAAGAGAGATGGCTAAAAGCAGAGACTAGGGTCAGACGGTGTGAGTGGGCATCTCACTAACCATACGATGTCGGGCTAGTTAACCTCTCTGTGCCTCAATGTTTCATCTGTAAAATGGGGGTGCTAATA